CTCACCCACTAGTAAAAATTAATCAGTAAATAAGTAAATAAAGCCAGACCTCCTCTGTTCCTTTTTTTTCCTGGTGCTAATACTGTCATGAATTCACTCAGGTCAAAAATGCTGCTGGAGTTGACAGGTCATATGTATATCTTTAGTGTTGCAATTAATTAAAAGTCAGTTTTACAGATCCAACTGACCCTCACAGCCTTAAAATACTTGGCTTTGCCTCAGTTCACAAAAGTTCCTTCTTTGTCAGAATCCATGTCTTTTAAAATAGATAGATCTTCATTAAATTAAATTAAAAAAAAAAGAAAAAAACTCTAAATTTGGCCACTATTTCTAAGTGGACTTAGAAGTGCATGTATCCTTGAAAACAACAGCCTCTAACATTTATTATTGAGGTACAGCATACCCCAGGCACTATCTGGAACCGTGTGTAATAAATTATTTGGTTTCCCTGGGTTCCCTGGGGGGGTAGGTACTGTTCTCAGAGAAAGCACTGTAAAGATGAGCAATTGGAGAATGTGCCAGAGTGACAGCCAGCAGGTAGCTGAGGCGGAATTTGAATCCAAACCAGTGGCTCACCTCCTCACTGCACTACCTGGCAAACTGCTGGCATTCTTCAGTAGCCGATCGCTTTCTGTCACTGTTGCTGAAAGGTGTAAAATGTCCTGAATAATCAGGACTTCGAGTAATTCTACATATGTGCCTGGAGTACACATTTGCTGGTTACCCAGGAATGATGATGACACTGGAGTAATACTTAGTCGCAAAGATTGGCTCCATCCACTTCCATTCCAGTTTACGTTGGAGTTTTCAACAACGTTGTAGATTTCCCTTCATTCTTTGAAACAAACAATGGCCTTAGCAACTTTATCTTCTTCTGATTCCTCTGATTATTTCATGTTCACTTCAGCAGCTTTATTATGTTATCTTTGAAATGTTTGGCTTTTTACGTGTCAACACAAATCACATTCCTTTGCTTTCTTTCTAGATAGTGGTTGAGCAACCATCCGAAACTCCTAGGAAGCTAATGACTCACCTAACAGAAAGCAATTACTAATGTGACTTTTGTCTCAGCTGCCAAGTGGTTTGTGTGGGTTTCCATGGTAACCCATCAGTATAACAAATGTCACAAACTAGCTCTGCAGCTTCTTTGATTTGTTTAGTTTGGATGGCTTTTTCCCAAGGTCTGTGTGTACACAGGAAAGATTACCACAGAAAAAGCTGAGTAATCGCCTTAGAAACACAAATATACTTTTTTGTTTTGGGGGAGTTTGGTTTTTTGGGGTTTTTTTTTTTTGTTTTGTTTTGTTTTTTCTTGTTTGTTTTGTTTTGTTTTTGAAACTTACTTTTTCCCCCTGCCTTGGTTTCCTGGATACTGTGAGTACAGGTGAGAGCCACAGTCTCAGGTAGAGATCTGAGGGAAGCAGATTTAAACTGGGACCGTTAAGGAGGCTCTTAAAATAATTCAAGGAACTGAAGTTAAGAGTCTGAATTAGGATAGTGGTGCTAGATGCAGGAAAGGGAATGGTTTCTGAGTAGTTAGAAAGTGATAGGCAGGAATTGGTAGTGGGTACCAGACACAATCCCTTTGGATTCTTTTCAGCTTAATGAAGCTGGACGAGTCACACAATTTCTCTCAATGGGATTGGGTCACAATGTATAAAATATCTAGCGTCTGGTGTATTGAAAGCACGCAGTAACTGCTGTCACCATTGTCATGAAAGGGGAAGTCAGCTGGTGGAAGTGGAACCTGTACACGTTTCTTTTTCCTCTGGAAGCTGCAATATCTTCATTAAAACCCATTCCGTATATGCGGCAATCCCTGCCCATACTTATATCACTATTCTCAACCTTATTTCTCCCAAGTCTACCAGGCTTGCTGTTGGCTTCCCACCCTAGATAAACTAGATAAATATGAAATGCTTCCCACTTGTTTTTTAAGGACAACATGTGCATGCAGAATTCACTTGGTGTCATTTTAAGATGCAGCTGTAATTGGGATCCAAAGGCCTGTGTGGCAAAGGCTTGTTCCCAGCGTGGCACTATTGAGAGGAAATGGGACCTTTAAGAGGTGGAGCCAAATGGGGGCATTTTGGGTCAACAGGAACCATGCTCCCAAAGGGATTGGGTAACTCTAGTCCATTCCTTCATTTTGCCTTCTAGCTGTGAAGGGAGAGGCTTTTCTTCCACCACATCTTCCCCCTACACTAGGCTGCCTTACCACAGGCCCAGTACAACGGAGTCGGTCAGTCCTGGACTGAACCCCAAAACAATGAAAGAATACCTCTTCTCTTTGTAAGTTGATTTGACTCAGAAATTGATTACAGTGATAGAAAGTTGACCAAAATGAGGCTGCTTAAATTTTGTGTATTAAACAATGAAGAGTATTCACAGAGTGAATGTTTAGAACAATTAGAAAATAATGGCTGTCAGTGTTAAGTACATTTGTAGTGCAGCCCAAATTGGTATCCTCCTCCTGCAGTCTCCTCAGTATGGAGATTACAAGTGTGGGTCACCATAATGGCACTCCTACATGTAACGTCATTCAGATTTATTTGGTTGCTAAACTAGTTACCAGTTTTCTGTCCCTGGATGCTTGTTTCTTGTCTTCCTGTGAGATTATGCCTTAAACAGACAAAACTTGGTGAGTCTGGGGGAGAAAGTGGACGCTATCTTTAGCCAGAAGTTTATATTTTCTAAGGATAATAAATTAGCATGTTTTTTTTTAAAAAAAAAAAAAAAAAAAAAAAAAAGAAGTGTTCTTTGGGAGGTGGTGGTGCCTGCCTTTAATGCCAGTGCTCTGGAGGCAGAGGTAGATTGATCTGCAAGTTTGAGGCCAGCCTGATCTACAGAGCAAAGTTCCAGGACAGGCAGAGAAACCCTGTCTTGAAAAAACAAAATAAAACAAAAAATATTGTTCTTGATAGCTGATTCCTACACCAGTGGTATTAGGGACAGAAACAAACAAACCTTGATATATATTCCTGAAGGACCCAGCTCATCAGTATATCTGCATGCCTTTCTTGGGAGCTCCAGGTACATGGCTGATGCTTTCAAGTTTTGGGACCAAGTGATGTTAGGAGAAAAACAGTAATTAAAAATTCTGTGTGTGTTTTTTTTTTAATTATTTTCATGATTTTTCTGGGCATTTTCAAAGTTAATCTATAAAACCAAACTCAGTGATCTTAATACACATTCACTTATTCATGGAGGCAGCTACAAGTTGACACACTATTGAAGTCACCCTATTTGTCCTTTTCTCCAACCTTAATCTAAATTTTTATGACACCCATCGGTCTCTATTGCTCCAGAGAAGTGATCCTACTGTGTACTTTCTTAAGAAGATCAACCTCACCATACCTGTGCTCTCAGGGACCATCACAGAGGAGGGGGTGGGGAGACTGTGACATAAGACAAGACTGACATTGTAAGACAGAGGTCAGGAAGGACTGGACAGAAACGGTGTTTTCTGCTCTGACAGTACTACTGCAATCTTGACCTCCCAGAAGCTGTGCTTGTCTGCACACAATCAAGCCAGTCGGCATTCCAGCATGGAGTAGGGAAGGACTCAAGGTCCCTCCCCCCTGAGGAGCCAGGGGTGACACTTCTGGGATATGGGATATTAGTTTTATTTAGGGATGTGGCTCCTGGTAGGTCAGTCATGCTCCGTTATGACTCTACACCAATGAGTATTTGAGCTGTACAAATTGGATTCCGTTGATTATTAAAAAAACAAAAAACAAAAAACAAAAAAAACATGAAGTTGGGAGGTATGACTGGGTGTGGGAGAAGTAGGAGTAAATATGATCAAAATACATTTTATATTCCATGTGTGAAATTCTCAAGAATTAATACAAATATTAAGGCCAGGTGTGATGTTGCTTAGGAGGTGGAGGCAAGTTGATCTCTTGGAATTCAAGGCCAACCTTGAGTTCTAGCCGATGAGACTATATAACGAGACCCTGCCTCAAAAAAAGAAAAAAAAAAGCTCCTTGCCTATATTAACTGGACTAATGAGTAATCTAGAAAACATCCGTTCTCTTGCTTTATCCATTTTTCTCTATTTATGACCCATCCACAGAGTAATTATTTTTGCTTTCTAATGCTAAATCTCTTGGACCTACCCAGTAAAGAGAACAGCTTGTATAAAAGCCAGAAAATCTGAAAGAGGAAAGTTGTTAGAAAAATAGCAGATTTCGTCTGTGGACAAGGGGCTTCTAGTTAAACAGGCTTGGCTTACATGTGATTCCTACACTCACACCCTCAATAACATTGATTTAACTTCTCTACTTAATCTCCTGGTCTGTGTGGTGAGGGAAGTACCAGCTACATTTTAGAGTAGCTGTGAGATTAAGCATCATGTTGTAAACTCTGAACTGGTAGTTCATGTTGCTGGACTAGACAGAAACTAAAGTACTTGTGTGTATTTCTGTCTCTTGCACAAAGTCCTACAAGGTTAGGAATTCTGCCCTTCTCCTTGAATTTTAAGCATTTAGAAGTGTACCCAACACAGAGAAAAATAAATGTACATTGAGTGAGTGGTGAAGAATCGCTTTAAACTGAATGAGAAGTAAATTAATTTCTGTATTTCTAATGGCCAATTATTCCTGTCCCATGCCTGCAAATACTGACTTGTTACATTTATATGTATTCCTGTGTGTGCTTGAGTTTGGAAGCCCAGCGTGATGTCAGGTGGCACCCTGAGATGCTCTGACACTTACATAGAGAGTCAGGTTCTCTAGCTGCACCCAGAGCTTGCCCTTCTGGTCAGTGTACGCCAGGGAGTCCCTGTCTCTCAAATGGTGGAATGACAGGACCCAGATTTTACATGATCTAAAGTCTAGCCCTCGTGCCTGCAGAGCCACCATTTACTCATCTTTCCAGCATCTGAAAATACTGACATCTGCATAGCTTCGTGAAATGGTGACTAGACCTGAGGGAAATGGTGAGTGGTTTTAACAAGTAATTAACGGGCTTTTTTGGTTTTTGTTTCCCTTATCCAGGGAGGTGGTGCAAGCAAACTGTGTTCGCTGGAGAAAGAAATTCTCATTTATGTGCAAAATGAGTGCCAGTGCCTCCACCGGCATCCTGGACCCTTGCATCTACAGAGTGTCTGTACGGAAGGTATAAAAATAGCCCATTATTCCTCCTCTTTCAGAAACCATAATTAGCTAAAGGCACTGACTCCCTTTATTTAGATCCGCTTTAACAGTAGAATTTAACTTCACACTTACAGCAATAAAATTAAATTTCTATGGAAAATATGGTGGAAAACCTCAGGTTATTACCCAAGAGTCAAAAATCTTTCTCCTCAGAAATACTGCACATAATGAGTGTTAACCACATCTGTCGTAGTTTGGGAGTGTGCATATCTGTATTCTGTCATTTGTCAAAGTTCTGTCCTTCCCTCTTTTACAACAATGTTTTCATTAATTCTTTGAAAATTTCATACAATGTACTGTAGCATACTTATACTCCTCCCCTGCCCTTCTTCACATAGCCTCTCCTTCACTGCCCCACCCACCCAGCTTTGAGTTTCCTATTTGTTTTGTTTAATCCAGTCCCGTTTGTGTTGTCCCACTGCTCTCGGGAGTGGGGCCTGCCCTGCAATGTGCTGCAACATTAAAGAAAACTGACTGTCCCTCTCACGGCAGCTATCAAATGCCGTTATCTCCCCGCTAGCCAACTAGTTAGATTTTTTTCCCACTTCCCTCCCCTGTGCTGGGATTTGCCTGGATTAAGACTGTACAGGTCTTGTGTTTCCTTGTCATTGTCACTGTGAGTTCTTACGTGCATCTGTCCTATTATGTCCTTCGAATCGCCCTCCATGTCTGGCTCTTCCGGTCTTTCTGGCCCTCTTCTGCATAAATCCCCGAGCCTGTGGGGATACACGTGCACTATAGATGCCCCATTCGTGATGCACACTCCCAAGTTCCTTATTCTCTGCATATTGACCTGTTGAAGGTCTCTGGGTTAATTACCATCTATTGTAAGGAACAGCTTCTCTGATGAGCACTAAGAGAGGCTCTGATCTGGAGTTCAGGGCCAGATTCCACCAAACCTCTGTTCTTTAAAAGGTATTCTTCTGGGGAGTTTGTTCAGTTATGTCTAATAGCAGCCCTGGAATTGGGTGTCCTTTTCTCTGTGTTCAGAAAAACTAAGGCTCAGAGAAATGAAGTAACTTGCCCAATTTTACATTGTTAATAAATGGTAATGGGAAGGCTCTGTCCTTGTTCATATGTATTTTATTTTGTTTTCATATATGAGGATATATATATAGATAGATATAGTGTTTTCATATACATATATACATATGTATCCTCATATATGAAAACAAAATACATATGAACTATATATATGATCCTAAATTTTTTAATAAAAAGAAGAATCTGTTAATCACTGCTTCTAATGAATTAACTACCATATTTAAAATATAAACTTTATAACCAAGAATGGTAGTGGCAAGTCTGTAATCATAGCAACTGGAGAGGCAGAGACAAGAGAATGCCAAGTTCAAGGCTAGCCAGAGCTACATAGCAAATTTAAGACGAGTCTAGGGTAGGTCATATGACCCCACCTTGAAAAACAAAAACCCAAATGTGCATTTTACATTTTATACATGTTGTTGCTGATTTTTCCTGAAAGAATGGCTCACTTTATAGCTCAAGATGGCCTGGAATTCACATGTAGACTGGACTTATCTCAAACTCATGACATATATATATATATATATATATATATATATATATATATATATATTAAGTTATCAGAGTACATGTAAGTCTTTTCCACACTCCAGTCTTGCATCTTTCTGTATCAGATTAAAAAGCTATAGTCTTAGATTTGTTGTCCCATGTTTTGAATGAATTGATAGCAGTATGATGTATGTGGCTTTATTCCAACCTTTTTAGTATTGTTTAATACACTCAGAATATAATAAATACATGTGTGCAGAAATGATTTTACAAATTTAAGACTTTATGAAACTAGCTGTGTTTGGAGCAATAGTAATTGAGTGGAGGCTTTTGCAGAGGAATTGTGGTCATCAAGGGCAGACTTTTATACCAACAGACACAATTATACCAATCTGCCTTTGAGCCCCAAGCATGCCACTTACCACCTGTGAGATCTTAGACAGTTATGGTATAAAATCTCTACATACAAATAAGGCAGTATTCCTTGATTCTTCATTAATATAGGAATTAGCTGACAAAACGAAGCCTACCTTCATCTTGCTGCTTTAACTGCTGCTGTCCATTCATTGAAAACCTTCTGAATGGAGTTCTAATTATGATGCTTAAAGGATGATGAGCTAGTCTTCGGATGCTAAGGAAAAGAAAGGATATAGTTACAAATTAAATAAGCTCAAGCTCTAGTAAACCAAATAGAAACTGTAAATTCCAGTGGCGCTAGGACATACCTCAAATAATGCCTTTCTCATATCATGGAGCTTTGGTATATTCATTAGGATATATCTTAGTTTGCTTTCTTTTGCTGTGATAAACATCATGGCCCAAGTAACTTAAAGAGGGAAGGGTTTATTTAGTCTTACAGTGTACAGCATGAAGAGAAGTCAGGGCAGGAACTGGAGGCAGGAACTGAAACAGAAGCCATGGAAGAATGTTGCCCGCTAGCTTGCTCTCTGTGGCTTACTCAGCCCAGTTTCTTATACACCTCAGCCCAGGGGTACCACCACCCACTGTGAGCTGAGCTACCTGCACACATGCACACACGCACATGTGCACGCACACACATATAGACACACACACACACACACACACACACACGCCCGCATGCACACATGCACGTACACATACAGACACAGACACACATGCACAGCCCAATCATTGGAAATGCCCCCACAGACCTATAGATGTACAGGCAATCTGATGGAGGTATTTTCTCAATTGAGGTTTCCTCTTCCCAGATGACCTGAGTTTGTGTCGAGTTGACAAAAAACTAACCAGCATAAAATACATATGTTAAACTGCTAAAACAGACCCAAAAAGTCAAAGGCTTAAACAAAATGGTATAGAAGTTGCTTTCTGAACCTGAGATAAAGGGGACAGCTCCAGTGTTGTTCTCTCTTGATTAGTAACATGGGAACACACATGATTCAAAAATGGTGCATGTGTCTTTTGTACACATCCCTCTGGTTAGAACAAAACTAAAAGGCTGTGACTGTCATCCATAGTGGGTTAGTAGGTTCTAATGTGTCAGAAGAGAGGTTGGGAAGTCACCAGTAGTCTTCTGCTGTATTGACTACTCTGGGCATTGAGAAATGGGTAACAGAAAGCAAAAGTTTAGCAAAATAAAATTAGTTTAGTACCCATAAATGCCACACATAAAAAATTAAGGGGGAACAGAATAGTTTAGGGAAGAACAATTGGTTTAGAAAACTGAGGAGGCATCTCTGCTCTCTGCCCCTCCCCAGCACTAGGGTGGCAGGCACATATGGCCACACCTAGCTTTTTGGGTGTGTGCTGGGTATCTGAACTTGGTAGGTCCTCATACTTGTGCAACTCTTTCCAACTGAGCTATCTCCCCAGCATGTTGTTTGGTAGGTGGGTAGGTGGGTGGGAGGGTGGATTGGTTGTTGGGGTTTTGAGACAGGACCTGATGATCCTCCTGTCTCTACCTCCCAAGGGCAGAGAGTATGGGCATATACCACCATGCCCAAATCATTGGGAGATTCTAATAAGGAGAGTCATGGTCTTTTATAAGATGATGATGATGATGATGATGAAAGTTGGCTTTAATATCTCAAAGTTAAAATGCTTAAGTTTGCGGTAGTAGTTTTACACAAAGATGAGCATTATTTTGAGCAACCAGATACCCAACTAAAAGTGCAGGACTGTATTACATGGAAAGAAAGAGCAGACACTTAAAGTATAGCTAGCATCCTTTCTGCAGAAGCTAAGTAAAGGAGTGGATGCAGGAAAGAGAGGCAGGAGGAACAGTAGCCAGGGAAGCAGGAGGGAGACAGGGCAATGTGGTGTCAGAGAGGTACAGAGAGGAAAATGATGTGAGAAAGGAGTTCAGTGGTCAGGCCTGTCACGTGATGAGAGGCTAAGATGGAGACGGAGCTTTTAGTTCTAACAAAATTAAGAGTGCTAGGAACCTTTTTTTTTTTTCTTAATAACTTATTTAACTTCATTTTATGTGCAATGCTGTGAAGGTGTCAGATCCCCTTGAACCAGAGGTACAGACAGTTGTGAGCTGCCATGTGGGTGCTGGGAATTAAACCTGGGTCCTCTGGAAGAACAGTCAGTGCTCTCAACCGCTGAGCCGTCTCTCCAGCCCATGATCACTAGGAATCTTGAGCTCCTAGAGAGGGAAAATGAGGACGAATCCGGTTGGAGAGAGTTGACTAGAAAAGAATGCAGCCGGTAGAGGTTTGATTGTTTGTGTGTTTATTCTTCTCATACATTACATCCAGACCACAGTTTACCCTCCCTCTACTCCTCCAGTCCCCAGTGGTCAGAAGTCTTTTGAATTTTGACCATAGAAGAACAGCAATGGAAATAATAAAGTTGAGGATCCAAGGGCATTTCCTTCTGTTTCAGAATGGCACCAGTAAGGGGTGTGAAGTGACCCAGTGAAGAAGAAAAGGTGATAATTCATGTGGAATAGAAGTAGTGGCAGGAGCCAGCACTTGGGAGGCAGAGACAGGCAGATCTCGTGTGAGTTCGAGGCTAGCCTGGTCTACGGAGGTAGTTCCAGGACAGACTCCAAAGCTATAGAGAAACCCTGTCTCAAAAAAAACAAAACAAACAAAACAAAACAAAAGAAATAGTGGCAGGAACAGGAAAGAATTGCAGATATTTGTAAGTAATAATAGAGCTCCCTGTAGACTGTCTGGATTTACTTAAAGTCACTGTGCGAAAGATAGAAGTGATAGATAATGCTTCAGTATCGGAGTTGCAAAAAAGAAGGGACAATTCTCTCAGTAAAAAATGTTTTTAAAGTGGCTCTAGTGAAAGGAAGTTTGTCTGTGATGATAGAAGGAAACGGAGTACACAGTGTGGGAGGCATTGTTCTAAGCACTTTACTCTTAATCCTCACAGATGTGCATTGTCCTAAATTCAAAATAGTGACCTAGCGTCCTGGCTCTGGGAAACTGAGGTGAGATACTTGAGCTCCAGGAGCTCAAGGCCAGTCTGTGCAATATAGAGAAACTCCATATCAAAAACTGACTACATAAGTAAAGCTTCAAGAAAAGTGAAAAGTTTGCTCACTTTTAAGGTGTTATCAATTTGACTAGTTGGATTTAAAGCCCTTCTATTTTTATTGTCTGTGACATTTACTAGCATTTAATGTCTACTTCAGAATTATTTGACTTACATTGGGTCTTAAATCATTCATCATGTGATATCCTCACAGTGGTTTTTTTTTTTTTTTATTTGCAGGAATTAAAAGGTGGCAAAGCTTATGCAAAGGTAAATAGATGTTCTCTACTCTTTTTTGCAGTTCATAATGTTGCTATTGCAATCTGTAGCCTTTGAATTGTTACTCAAACTTGACTCATTTTAAGTAAAGCAAATTGGAGATTGAATAATTGGATCACAATACTCTTTTGGGAGAAATGGCTCAGTAGTGAGGAACACTGGCAGTTCTTCCAAAGGACCCGGGTTCTGTTCCAGCACACAAAGTGACGGTAACTGCCTCTTTTGACCTCTTCAGGCACTGCGTGCACATGGTAGAAACACACACGCAGACAAATACCCATACACATAATAAAAATGAATGACTCCTTTAAAAGAAAATAATAATAATGTTCTGGAAGCTTATTATGGGTTTAGCCTCCCTACTAGAGAATGTTCTCTGGTTTTCTTGACTCTATGGCTTACTAATGATACAAAACAAGTAGATAGAAGATATTGCTGCTCCAGGATTGGTTAATACACTGACTAAGGAATGTGGTCAGGGATCCATTATCCCCTTTCCCTCTGTGATGGCTTTATTCTTGATCAACACTACACACCTGGACATTAGGTGTCTAGTTACTCAAGTTTTTCAACACAATTCATGTGCAGAAAATCCCCTAGCTGGTCTCTGTGTGGTATTTTTGTTGAGTAAGAAAGCATTTCCTAGATGCTCTCAGAGGACTCCCCTATATGTTTTAATGAATATAACTAGACCATATATGCACCCCAACCACCTGTGGCCATAGGAATGGATTGCTGTTGTTGAGCAAGACTGACCACAATGTAGCAATGTGATGGGTCCCTCTGTTTGCACAAGGATAATTAAGAAGATTGAATCTCTGGGGGAAATGGAGTTTGAGCAAGGACTATGGGGTACTTAGTGTTGGGCAGGCAAACAGCAAGGTCTGTTGCTGGTAACTGTTCATACATTTTATTCTTTTCTAAGAGCTCTTAAAACCATATTCTCTCGCCTTTTGTGAAACTATTGCCTTAGCTTATGCCTGCCTGCATCATTTTCTATTGACAGCCCCTTTTGGCCTCCTGCTTAGTCTGTTTCCTCTGTTGTCTAACCCCACCTTCATTAGTCCCGCCAGAGTGATCTTCCTAAAATAAAACATGATATATCATTCCCCACTTTTAGTTCTTCAGTAGCTATTCACTGACTTAAAGAAAATTGGAAATTCTATAAGCTAATAAATAAGATCCATTTTTGTTTGCAAATCATTTCTGCTGCCTCATCTCTTCTGCCTGCCACCTGTGTTCTCTGTTTCTGTCCTTTCTCTCTCACCCCTTATTCTTGCGGGCATACTGCCATCATAAACTTCCTAGAGCCTCTCATGCTATTTTAGCTTCTTTGCCTTGTGACTTGACACCATGCATGTATTCCTCCCTCCCCTTGTCTTTTCAACTCGTGTATCGTTAAAGATTCCGCTTAGTCATGCCTTCCCACTGAGAACTCTTCTCTCTTCCAATTGTGTCATCCTTTACCACAGCACCTCCAGGCAGTACTATAGGATAGCTCTGGAAGAGCATAAAATAGACCTTGGGTTTCATCATCCCCAGCACCAGAAAAGGGAAAAACTTTCTATGTTCCTAATTATTGTCTAATGTTACCTGAAATACAAATGTTAAAAAATATCTTCTAAATAAGTTAATGTCTTCCATGAATGTGGTATATATGTATGGCATATTTATGAAACACATACACATAGCTATTCCTGTGACGGTTATCTTGGTGAAGCCAAAGAAAGTCATAAAGAGATATGGATTCTCTGGCACCATGCTTTAAAGTCTGTGATGAGAGTCCTTTGAAGTCAGAATATGTTTTCCTGTTCCCCTTGTTCTCCTGGGTCTATGTAAGAGTATGACACATAAAAGGTACATTGGCATGTCACTTTTGGGTTTTGCTGCTGTAAGAAAGAACAGACAGAATGGCATAAACAAAATACATTTAGTTCTCAGCATTCTAGATGCCGAGAAGCCTGAGGCCATAATACCAACAGATCTAGCATCTGTGGAGAGCCTACTTCCTGGTTTGCAGATGGTGGGCTCCTCAGTATGTCATTGTGTGGCAGATTTCAGAGCAAGCATGCAAGTTCTGTCCTCTGTTTAAGGTGCATTCATCCAGACCTTAGTGTACAAGTCAGCCGTAGAGCACATACTGAGAAATGTGCAAGGCCCTGGAATTGGTTCCCAGCACTAAAAGGAGAGTAGATGGTAGGGAACACTTTGATTGGGATGTAAAAAAAAATTAATTTTAAAACCTACTGAAATAATGCTCCAATATGCAATTAAAACCATCCTCTTGTATGCCCCTAAAAGTGGGTCTAGAGCGATGACTCATAGGGAAGATGCTTGCTGCACAAGTGTAAAAATCTGCATTTAGATCCCCTAGAATATGTAAACCCAGAATATCTGTGCTACAATGAGACAGGAAGTAAAGACAGGAGGATCCCTGCAGGCCAGCTAGCCTAGCATGTACAGCACAGTGGCAAATAACAAAGGGCCCTGCCTCAAACATGGTGGAAGGTGAAGACCAAAGCCTGAGGTTGCCCTCTGACCTCTGCACACGCACTATTGGATGTGCACACCTATGTATATATAAACATACCACATACATTATACACAAAAAAACAACCTTGAAACAAACAAGGTCAGCAATGTTTGCAACATATTATACAGCTTATTACATGTTCTTAGAGATGTGCTTAATTCACTTTTTGTAGAAGTAAACTACTAAAAGAATAATGATATAAGGGGCACACTTGAACAGTGAATCTGGGTTAAGCAACATCAGAGGAAAAACTGGAGCAAGCTTTGATAATGGCAGGAAATGGCATTTCTGGGTAGCAAGGTAAAAGAGGAACAAGTTTCAACTGAACTCCTGAGTAGCGACAGAGAGGGTAGGTGTGGGTCAGGCAGTGAGCCAGGGAAACAGCAGCTTCCGTAGAGAGACTCAGCTGAAGGATGGTTGGTTAGCAGGAAGATGAGGGAGGAAAAGATGCCCCTACTAAAGAAGGGAAAAGGCTCACCTGAGTCCTCGTGAGTGTGTGGAGAATGAGAACTTACCCTGTAATGATCTCCAGTCCCTGGTGGCTAACTCAGCATAGGGCAGGATCCAGTATAGAGGAGTGGGAGTCTGTACATGGCTGCACATGAGCACAATTGCCTGTTATCCCCACGGTACAATGTGAGTGTAGGTGTTAGTGTGAGTGATTTTGCCTTTTGATGTGCCTTAGTTATACTATCACAGTCATATGTTTATTTTAATGTGTACTGAAATGTATTCAGCACAGCACATCAAATCCATGATAAAAGATGAGTAGGTAGTAGATTTTTATTAAAAAGCAACTAAATTAAGGACCCATATAAAATAAAGCAGGTAGGAGTAAGAAGACAAGAACTGAAAGGTTTGAGAAAAACTCATGGGTTGAATGTCTATTTTAAGGAGATATAGTAGAGCCTACTAGATAGTCTATTAATATGATTCTCTTTCTTTTCATAGCTGGGCTTTGCAGATCTAAACCTGGCAGAGTTTGCTGGATCAGGAAATACCACTCGTCGCTGTTTACTGGAAGGCTACGATACCAAAAATACAAGACAGGACAATTCCATTCTTAAAGTAAGCCCTCTTCAAGATTTACATGCCAATAAAAGAGATTTTCTGCATCTAACTAAGCACAGGTACCTGTTGTCATGGATACAATGGGACTCCATACTAAGATCATGAACCTCTACACCTCTAGAGAAAGACCCTTCCAAGCCATAGAAGCAGTGAAAAATAATGATCACCTTTATGGTCCAGTGTGTTTCTCATTGGTGCTGTGAACAAATACACCACCACTACAACAGAATGCTTGTTGGGGAGAGGGAACATGATGATTAGATACACGGCTTAAAGGACAGATAGCTATCTTCAGGGCTAGGAAGCTAACTTAGTAGTTAAGAACAGTTACTACACAGCCACGCAGAGCTGAGTTCAGATCCCAGTACATGTAAGAAGACAGAGATGGTTTTGCTCCTACCTGTAACCCCGGTGCTGTGGGAAGTAGAATCAGAAAGGTTGCTAGAGCTCCTGGCTGCCAACCTAGCTGTAAAATGCAAGCCCCCAGCTCGGGGAGAGAGCTTGCCACAAAGGGATAAGGCTAAAAGTGAAAAGAGGACCTCTGGTGCCCTCCTCTGAGTTTTGTGTATGCACAGGCTTGTGCACTGACACACACATTTGCCTATATGTAACCAGTGAAGTGACACGCAGAGCCACTCATGGACATCTCCTTATTTCTCCAGATCTCATCAGGGGCCATGTGTTCAGGTAATCACAAAGAATGTATGCTTCATGAGCTTGGTGGAAATGTTAAATTAGATCCATTGGGGAAATATTCAGAAAATATCTTATACCAAGAAGAATCTTTGCTGCACTTTTACTTAACTAGTGAGTTGCCTAAGAAGAAGAAAGATAGCTATTTAAATACCAAGTGGTTTTTATTGAAAAGTTAGTTAAGTGAAGAATTACTTTATACCTACAGTTTCAACTTTGTTTTTAGTGAACATTTAGCACACTTCAGCATCTTTAAGAAAGGTGAGATGTGGAGAGGAAAATAATAAAGAAGATGAGGAAATGTTAGGTATTGTGGTTCATACCTGTAATTAAAGCCCTTGAGAGGTGGAGACAAGGAAGATCAGGGGTTCAAGGCTACCCTTAGCCACATAATCCCTGTCTCAAAACCAAGGTAGGAGCCAGGTAGTGGTGCATGCCTTGAATCCCAGTGGTTGGGAGGCAGAGGAAGCCAGATCTCTGTGAGTTCAAGGCAAGCCTGGTCTACAGAGGTGAGATCCAGGACAGCCAGGACTACACAGTGAAACCCTACCTCAAAAAACCTAAATAAACAAACAAGCCAATGAAGGAAAAGAGGAAATTAAGAGAGCACCACACTATGAACTTCGAGTCTGTTTGATTTTGTTGATATATACCTCTGAAAACATCTCAGGGCACTTGTACATACCCCACCCCACCCCCATGAGATTGGCGGGTCTAGATAGACGGTGTCTTAGTTAAGCTTTCTATTGCTGTGAAGAGACACCACGACCATGGCAACGCTTATAAAGGAAAACATTTAAGTGGGCTGGCTTACAGCCCATCATGGTGAGGCATGGCAGAATGCAGGCAGATGTGGTGGTGGAGAAGGAGCTGAAAGTCATACATCTTGATCTGAAGACGGTAGGAGACTGTCACACTGGCAGACTTGAGCTTGTAAGACCTCAAAGCCCACCTTCACAGTGATGCACTTCCTCCAACAAGGCCACACCTCCTAATAGTTCCACTCCCTAAGGGACAGTCATTCAAACAATGGTCTATGGAGGCCATTCTTATTCACACCACTACACATGGGGAACCGTTTTTATCCCTGTTTTATAAAGGAGACAGTGAGACTCGGAAGGCTAGGTGCCTCCTTTAAGAAAAGTAGTGGGCGACAGCAGAGACCAGCATGCATATCTGCTGTTTGGTGGCCTTTTCACTTTACCATGCCCTCTAATCCCCATTCTCAAAACCCACCGACTATACTGCTCATTCTCAATGACCCTGAACAAGTTACCAAAAGAAGTCCAGTGAAAAATATATGTATTTCTTATATTAAAAAGCAAATGACCCATATCTAAATAGCACACGTGTGTGTGTGTGTGTGTGTGTGTGTGTGTGTGTGTGTCCTTTTTGTGATGAGTGTGTAACCATTCAGTCATCTCCCCCACACTGAAATAGCTGTTTAATTTCAGGTAATTGCCCCTCTCCTACCACCATCTCTATGTCCCCAGCCCTCGCGGTCACCTCACACAGCTGTCTTCAACCCTACCCCTTTCTCATGCTCTATCTGCCAGGCCTCACCTGCTCCCACTCTCCCTTACCCAGCTTAGTGCACATCATGACTCTCCTCCATGAATTACCACTCTGCTGCCTTTTCCTGTGGCTGTCCCTGCAGATCTCCAACCCTACTTGGTTTGCCTGTGTCCTCCCGGAGTCTGTGTCCTGAGCTGAATGTCACTAGAGGACACACAGATGAGTGGGCATTACTGAAATCGGGCTCACCTCCAGCTGGCAGCCGTACTCTGCGTCCTGTCCCAATTTAGAGACTCACCTTCCTGCCTTTCTTCTCAATGTATTTTCATACCCCACATTTTACCTCAGCTAAGCCTCTCCTTTATTGAAAAGATAGAACTCATTAAACTCACGCCCCTTTACACCTCTACTTGTCTCTCCGGTCCTAGGACAGTGTATGACGGCTATCTTGCCTGTGGTTACAGGGATGACATGACCCTCTTCCTGTAAGAAGTCAGTCCTAGACTTAGTAGACTTCCTAGGGGAGTCCTTACCCTCTTGGTGGAACAGATTGGGAGGAACTGGGATTGGAATGTAAAAAGTAAAGTAATAAAAAAAAAAGAAAAAATTTAAAAAATGCCCACCCAAAAGGTGGAGGAGGAGGAGAAGAAGTCAGTCCTTTGCTTGGGCTCTAGAATCCACACAGGCATAATCAAGGATTCTGTGCTTAGTCATGTCTCCCTTGAATGGACCATCTTTGTCAACATACAAAGAAACAGCAGTAGTGTACCCATGTCTTAAGAACAAAGCTCGGCCTCTTACCTCTTACAGCTGTGTTGCTTCTCTGTTCTGCCCCACTACACAATTCTTCCATCCCAAGACATTCCAATAGTCATAAATGCAGTCCTGTAGAGTTGGAAATCAGATTGGAGGATTGTGTGAAAGAGGCAGTAATAAGACAGCCAGCACAATAGGACAGGTGTGAGACTTAAGGGAAAAATAAAATAAGAAAGGGACAGTAGTGGAGGTCCTGGGTAAAGAGATAGGAATGAAATAAGGTTATAGAAGATGCAGGTCAAACATTGGCTGGAAAATGTGCAGTAATCTTTAAGTGTCCTGTTTGTTGTTATGACTATGAACTCAGTAAGTGTAGTTCTGGGTTTTGCGCTGTGCCAGCTCTATGATTCAGAAAATGTCCCTAATCTCTATGGTCTCAAAATGAGAATGTTACTCGCTGATTGGAGTGTTGAAGATGAATGAGATGATGTGTATAGGACATGTAGTTTATATCTGGAATGTAAGTTCCCAAATCAAGGCAAGTGTGTGATGCCTGTGTGTGACCCCAGCACTTGGGATTGAGGCAAGAAGATCATAAGTTTGATGTTATTCTTGACTACCTAGCAAGTCTGAGGGTACCCTGGAATACTGAGACTCTCAAAGAGCCAAAACATAATGAATTCTCAAGTCACCACCATTGTGAATGACATTGTTATTGTTTTTCCCACAAGAGTGTGAATTTGGGGCTGGGAATATTGCCTGGTTGGTAGGAAGCCTGCCTAGCATACACAAAGCCTCAGCACCACATAAAGCGTATGGTAGCACATGCCTGGGATCGCAGCACTCACGAAGGAAGAAAAGGTGAAGTTTAAGACCACCCCATGACACATAGTAAGTATGAGGCCAGACTGTCTCAGGAAAAAAAAAAAAAAAAAAAAAAAAGAGTGTAATTGTCCTGTGGTGGATTCTTACAAGTTACTTAGCTACCAATGTATCAGCATCTCAGAAGGAAACAGCAAGGCCTGTTTCCAAGTCCTGGTCCAAAGCTGACAAAAAGACAAAAAGGCTCCCTGCCCTTCAGAGCCCCGAGCAGATATCCCATGAAGCCTTAGCCTGTGGAGCTGGAGAGCCTGGTTATCAAATATTTGCATCCCACAGGATTCTGGAGTAAACGCAGACAAACCAGACACAGGCATGCTAAGGAAGGATTATTACTGGGAAATGCTTACTTTTCATTCTTATCTCTTCCACAAGGTTTTGAACATTAAAGGTGATTTATAATCCATGTATACCCTTGTCAAACATTCATTTCACCTAATGTTTTCCGGATAGAAAATATAAGACTGGATATCACGGGGGAAATACAGTTAGCAAAAGCTGGCTGCTGAAGAAGCTTTCTAATTGTGGCACTTGTCGCTCTTTTGTTTAGGTTTTGATCAGTATGCAGCTGATGTCTGGTGACCCATGTTTTAAAACGTAAGTTGATAACCAGTAAATGGATTGTCATCTGCAACTATGATATAAATTGAAGCAGGTGTGTAGGCAGACTGTGGTAGACTGGCCTGAATGTCGCAGACATGACCGTTTCCTATTACAGGTTATGAATCATTTGCTATCTTTGGGTTTTCAGGTTTAAGATGAAGTTGTACAAACTGAGGTTTTCATTTACTTTCTATTTCCTTATTCACCTCTTTAATAGATACTCAGTAGGTGTCTTACAGTGTGTGGTACTGCATTCTACTTATACTGTACTTATACTGTAAGAAACAGCCAAGTAATGACAAACAGAGGAGCCTAGGAATAAGCACTCTGGTAAGGAGTAGCATGGGAGCAGGATGATGCTGTGAAGAGCTTTTGCTGTTTTATATCATGTATCAGGGGAGGTCTCCCTGCTTAAGATGACATTTGAGTAGACTTGAAGGAGGTCGGAAACAAGACACATGGATATTTAGGGAAAGAGTATTCAAGGTAGAGAGAATAGAACAAAGCCTTGAGAGGGTATGGTTCCCAGCATGCTCAAGTAACCGCCTGGAGACCACATATCTAGAGCAGAGGGAGTGGAGAGCTTGGTAACAGGAGATGAGGTCAGATGGTCATCTTGTGGGCCATTAGAATAAGGACTCCACTGACCTTCTGAATACGATAAAAGGCTACAGAGGTTTCCGGTGAAAAGTAAATGCTCTCATTATGATTCAAGGTAGACAAGAGACAATCTGAGGGAGCTGTGATGGGAATAAGGACAAAAGAGGTAGATCGTGTAACCATTTCATTAGCTAATGTTTCTCTCCTGAGAAGCCACACGAGGAATGATTCAGAGCTCAGATGTAAGACACAACAAAACCCACATCTAAAAAAGAGAATTTGTAAAGCATTCTGGTGTGGTCCAAATTCTTGCCTTACAAAGGAGGAAGCTGAGACAGAGCAATTGTCTTGGCCAAGTGTGTCTGTGTGGAGCTGAAGGTAAATAGCTACTGGAGAGATGTGTGCCCCGCTCTGCTGGCTGCCCCATCAGTGTGGGACGTGTGCAGCAGAGAGTGGAGGGACTCTAACCACCACCGTTCCTTGAAAGACACAAAGTCCTCACTGAGGGGGCGGCATGGGCTAAGCTCTGATAAATAAGAATGTACACTAAGCATGAAAGGCGTGTAGAGACATTCCAGGCAGAGAAAACAAGTTGGCTCGCACATAGGGCATTGTGGTGCTTGGGATATTTGTGGAACATCCAGTAGATGATGGTGTCATTTTAGGAGGTCATTTTTCACAGACTCTGAACATTACTTTAAAATTAAAATAATCCCCAATTCTTTAACCTGCAACTATGCTGTATCAAAGGATCCTGACAAAGAATGTTATACATTTTTTTTAACAAAAGGAGTGATAGAACAGAGCCAACACACAATGGGCCCTTGGTGGCTAGTCACTGAATTGGGTTGCCCCGGGCAACAGAACTGCAGCAGCCTAGTTAAGATTTCAGATTCTGAGTGTGCTATACTAACAGCCCATGGTCAGCTTGTTCTGTCTGAATGCTAATTACCCCTGTCTTTGAGCACTCAACAGAAATGACTCCTGAGTCTCTGAGACAGCAGGACACTATTGTCAAATTCACAATAGTGTCAGATGTGTTGTTGATGTAATCGCCTGTGGAAGGGAAGACGACTGATATTTAAGAATCCAGGCTTGCAGACACAGGCCAGTCCCTGGTGATTTATGACTATTATTGTAGAGCTCGTTCTTTGCTTGAATCTTTTATACATTTTCCCCATGAAATGTTTTAATTGAGGTTTTTTTTTTTCCCCTTCTTCAACCAAGTTATTTGTGTTATTTAAACATGTAACTTAGCTGGGCCTGGTGGTACAAGACTGAGGCAGGAGGATCTTCATGATTTCAAGGCCAGTCTGGTCTACATACAGGTTACTAAACCAAGCAAGGCTACAGAGTGAGATCATGTCTCAAAACCACACCCCCCAAAAAATATCACAACAAAAGTCAAAATACAATTATTGGCAATTAAAGAGGTTGCTCAAAATTGGACTTGTGAAGAGCCTTGGGCATCATACTAGGAGATGGAGCTTTGTCCCAAAGGCACTATTGAAGGCTTTGTCATGGCTGTAAGACAGGCTCATATAGCCCAGGTTAGTATCCAGCTTGCTATGTGCCCAAGGATGAGCTTGATCTCCTGGTCCTTGTGCCTCAACTCCTAAAATTACAGGACTATGGTACCACATTGGATTCTCTCTCTCTCTCTCTCTCTCTCTCTCTCTCTCTCTCTCTCTCTCACACACACACACACACACACACACACACACACACACTCCACAAGACAGTACTCTTTCTGTTCCCAGTATTTTGTTGTACAAAAGCCCCTTTCCCACAGGCAAGAGGCTCCGCTCGGTGATTAAGAGCCTTGCAGAGGACCAAATTCAGTTCCCAGCACCCATGTCAGGTGGCTCACAATCATCTGTAACTCTAGCTCCCTGGGACCCAGCACCCTCTCCCACATTTGTTATCCAGGTCTTGGGGTTCTAAAAGATACTTATGGGTTATTTAATGACTTTGATTTCATCCTCAAAGGGCTAACTGTAATAAGCAGCTTGCTAAGGCCAGGTACTGGCCGCACAGTGACTCTCTAACTGTAGTTCAAACCTTCAGGCTCCCATGTGATTCAAGATCTGATCCTTAGACTGTCTGTTTCCAGGCCTCCCTCCACATCCATGTCAATACCCATCGCCGGAGAACCCGAGTCTCTAGAAGAGGATAGAAAAGGCGGGGAGACACTCAAAGTGCATCTTGGAATAGCAGGTATGGGTATATAGCTTCCTGATCCCTTGGTTTCTGAAAAACGATACTATTTAATTTCTTAATTGATTCCTAAACCCGGAGGGGCTGTCTGGATGGCTCAGCAGGTCAGGGTGCCTGCCGCCAAGCCTGATGACCTGAGTTTAATCTTTGGAATCCACACAGTTTAAGGAGAAAACAGATTGTCCTCTGACCTCCACAAGCATTCTGTGACACATGCTTGTCCACACACACATACACGAAAACAAACAAATGAATGCAAAAAGAGATTCCTACAACCTACCCACATGTAAATTTGTATGCACTCTTGACTTGGAATATGCCAGTTGGTATGTCAGCCAAGCCAGTATTTTATTTGTTTAAAGTAACGTGACTGATAGTAACAGCTGAATGTTGTGCTAACATTGCCTCTCACTGGCTGCATCCACTCCTTACAAACATAAGAACCTCCAATTTTTCCCATTCCTCCCTCGTGCTGGGCACATTCACCTGTCAGCTCTTTGGTGTTGCTCTTCCTCATTCCCTTCTTGTTGCTTCTCAAGCCTCTCTGTGCATTTGATTTACCTGGGGGCAGAAGGTATCAAAAACACACTGCTAGCAGCCAGTTTTGGACTTGGTCAACCCAAGTTGGTGCCTGGAACTTTATAATGCACACCAGTTCAGCTCCTTTGTTGCTGGTGCTGGTCCCGAGCACACTTAGAGATCCACTTCCCTAGACATCTTCCAGTAGAGGCAGAATTTACTGTGGTTGCTAAAAGCAGGGTAGGCAAGATGCCAACCTGGCCACAAGCAAAGGACGTAAGAGTTTCCTTCTATCTCCCAAATTATGGGGACAGAGTATATTGTTGGAAAGAAAGGTGAAGTATTAGGATTAACATTTTCACTGCCTTTTCAAATGTGCAATGATAGGGTTTCTTATACGTAATTTTGAGTATGGATTTCTTGATTTAGGACCAGCTAATCTTATGAATACTGTTAAACTTTCCATCAACTCCCCCCTCAGCACTTAAATATCCTGAGCTGTTGTCTATATTGAGAAAATGTAAAATAGACCTATTATACTTATGATAGGATAATATCCATCTTCTCTATCTTCTGTTGTTTTCTAGACTCCAGCAGTCCAGTATTGGATAGGTAGACAGATGTGAAGTATCATCAAGAAAATACATATTTGGGGCATGCAACACAGTTATGTAGACAAACCAATACTGCTTGGATTCTTTTACTTTTCTTGTTGCTATGACAAAAGGAGGATATTTGGGCTCACAGTTCCAGGGGTTGCAGTCTGTCGCTGTGGGGAAGTCATGGTGGGATGGGAGTGTCTGCTCACATTGCACCCACAGCCAGGAAACAGGAAGAGAAATGTTCATCCTGTCCAGATGGTTTTCTGTAAATGCTTGTGTTCAGCTGGTTTCCTCTTTCCTGTTTTTATTGAGTCCCACTCTGCTCAGTTAAGCCTCCCTGGAAACACCCTCACAGACACATCCAGATAGGTGTCCCTTAGGTGACTCCTAGTCTAGTCAAATTTGCAGTGAGAGTTAACCATCACACCGTCCATATATTGTTAAACTCATTTGCAAGCTGATGTGTATCCTGTCTTGATGTCTGCGGTTACATGATCTCCAAATCCCGTGGGAATTAGTTCAGTTCTCGTACGACTCAGCCACTAATTCTTCCTTGAAGCCTTCTCTTCCCTTGTCTCCTGCCTTCATGACTTTTCCTCTTCTCCATTCTTCGGGATTTCTTGAGCAAGCAAGATAGTTCAGTGAGTAAAGACACTTGCTGCCATTTCTGATGACCCGAGTTCAATCCCTAGGCCCCACCGAAGGAAGCAGAGGTTTGCCACAAGCTAGTTAGCTAGTTGTCATCTGGCCTGGCCTCCATGTGTATGCCATATAGCGCGCGCGCACACACACACACACACACACACACACACACACACACACACACACAATAAATGTAATGGATTTTTTAAAGCCTAGAATCTGTTTGTAATTGGCAGCTTCAAGGGGAGGGAAAGTGAGTCTTCTTCAGGAATGTGGCCTCTCAGAGGCTACCCATGCTCCAGTAGATGTCCTACACAGAGGCAGCACTAAGGGGATTCAGTGGCTTTAAGAGCACAGCACGTTAAGTTGGTAGGGAAAAGTGTTGGAGAAGTACAAGAGGAATTGGAGAGGATGGTGAATCTGATCAAAACACATATACATGCATGAAATTCTCCAATAATAACAAAAAAAATAAAAAGAAACTTCCTCAAAGTGCCAGTGCTATAGCTATGATAGAGAGCACTTGCCTGATCACTTGAGACCCTGGGTTATGTTCCCAGTCCTTCAAAAACAGAAACTAAGGCATAAAAACACCCCCCACCTCCTCTCCATCATTGCTGTTCCACAATGGGTTTGGGCCCCTCTACTTAGTTTTCTGGGCAATCTGGTCCACACCCTATATTTAACTGTCTCATAAATACAATGTGGCTATATAAATGTGTGTTAAATACTTTCCATTCTCCAAATGTTTTGGGGAAAGTCCACTTCATGACACACATCATTACTGAAGTTTTTGAATTCATCTTTCTCCCCAGCCAGACTTTGGATTCTTTGTGATCAGTGCTTTATAGCCCAGAGACCAGGGATAGGTCAGTGTGATGAGCATTGACTGTCAACATCACATACTTAGTGCAGATTTGCCTAACTTTTTCTCCTAATGCTCAGGTATCCTGGCACAAACCAGTAGCTAAATCCCTTGCTTAAAGTCACTGAAGTATTTCTTTCATTCAGCTCTCAGAAAGGTCGTCATCAGCTGGCCTGTGCTCAAGTTCAGCCTCTTTTCCCAATAGTCATCTCCCCACTGCGCCAGGTGCTGACTTCACCAAACCATTTGCTGCTCTACAAGTTTGCTGTACCCTATGTCCTTCCCTCCTCAGCAAGCTGCGAGACTCCTACATTGGCAGATCCTGGGCTAGTCTTCTCTCTGAGGTCTCATCCCATGAATAGGATGCACTGGCCTTTGGAGTCCTTAATACCTTTGGATAATGATGCACACACTGTATTCTCTTTGTTCGATCTCCAAATTTTGACCATGTGTTTTGTCTCATTTACTTTGTGTCCCCAATGCCTTAGTTTCACCTATACCACAGACAACTGGTTTGATAAGAGCTTAATGAACTTTTATATGGGTTGAATATATTTTGAAAAGCAGAAGAAAGATGGCTGAGATCTGAGCCAAACACTGGGATAGATTTTGGGCATACAGGAACTCCATGAACTATCTCCTGGAGAGGGTTTTGTTGGAGCTAGCCTTTGGGTTTGGGTTATTGTAGAGAGATTTTTGGGATCCTTGCATTCTGCCTAGACATGAGGAGTCTTTTACACAGGACCAGTAGGTTGCACGTTGGGCAGCATTTGTTGGCCCAACTGTGTGCACCATCTATCTCACTTAGAGAATTACTGCTGTGGCAAGTACCTCACTCAGCTGCTTCCTTCTGCTCCTAAGTGAACAACAGTTCCAGTGTCCAAGTGTTTTACACTAATGCTAAACAGTCACAGTTCTGTCTTCTGTGGAGGATGGCTGCTTCTGCAAATACATAGTTGCTATCTAGACTATGAACATGCATAAGGAGCTACTGGAAACAGCGTTGGAACTGCTTTGTCTTTTTACTTTCAAACTGTACTATCATCAGTTTCTTTTTTACTATTTTTTCTAAGGTTTTATTGATTTTATCTTTAGCGTTTGAGTGTTTTATCTGTAGGCATGTCTATGCACCACATGCATGCAGTGCCTGTAGAGACCAAAAGAGGATATTGGTTCCCTGGAACTGGAGTTACAGGTGGTTGTGAGATGCCCTGCGGGTACTGGGAACTGAACCCAAGTTCTCTGGGAGAACAGCCATCCAGTGCTCTAGACAGCTGTGCCATCTCCAGGCTTGAAACCAACTTCTTAAGAACTTGCATCTTGGGTACTACAACTTATGCTGTGTTGCTAAGTTACAGCATTGCCCCCTGGATAGCCTAGCACTAGGAAGGCTGACATCAAAGCACATTACTGTTGTGAGTTCTGAACATTTGAGATCTCCTCAACTCTACCTAAAATCAAAATAGAACAATGGTAAAGTGGCAGGGCATGGTGGTGTACACCTGTAATCCCAGCACTGGGGACATCAAGGAAGGAGGGGAAAGAATTGAAGGCCAGTCTCAACTACTGAGTGGATTTAAGGATAGCTGGGGTTATATAAGACCCTGTCAGATAGGTAGGTAGGTAGGTAGGTAGGTAGGTAGGTAGGTAGGTAGATAGATAGATAGATAGATAGATAGATAGATAGATAGATATAGAGATAAAGATAAAATGAATAAGTAAAGGAAGGAAAAAACCACCAAAATCCAGCAGCTTCATGAGAATTTGTAAGAATAAGATTGACTTATTAGAAAAATGTTGAACACATGCACACACACACACACACACACACACACACACACACCTAATGGTTTTAAGATACACTACTAGTAAACATTATAAAAGTACCTTAACTTTCCAGTGAACTAAAGTATTTAAGCAGTCTTTAATGTCTTGCAATGTAGTTGTTTTCATTGTACCAATTTGAAGGGATCTATCATTTTGTAATTCATTTTCCTTGATTACAGACTTGCAAAGTAATAAATCTGCAGGTTAGAATACAAATTGGACATTGACTTAGTAGTAATAATAACATCACATGACTTGTTGCAGATCTTTCAGCAAAGAGTGCCTCTGTTCCAGATGAACTTGGTGCCTGGGGACATTCTAGAACATCAAGCTATGCAAGCCAGCAGTCCAAAGTATCAGGTAGAGGCCCACAGTGGGATTCAACTCCTTATTGTTCTGAAGCAGTGGTTCTCAACCTTCCTAATGCTGCATCTCTTCAATACAATTCCTCATGTTGTGGTGACCCCCAACCTTAACATTATTTCCATTACTACATAAGTGTAATTTTGCTACTGTTATGAACTGCAATGTCAATATTTGTTTGGAGATAGAGGTGTGCCAAAGGGGTTGCAAACCACAGGTTGAGAACCATTGTTCTAACGGGCCTTGAAGCCAGGTATCATGGTACACAACTGTTATCCTAGCAATGGGGAGGCTGGGAGAGAAGGATGGCAAGTTCAAGACCAGCCTTTGCTTGTTGTATAGCAGATACCTGTCTCCAAACAAAATAAAATTCAATAATAAACTTGAAACTACTGTGGTATGGGATAAAGAAATAACACCTCAGAAATGACAGATGGTTCAGTAAAGTGCTTGTCATGCCAGCAAGAGAACCAGAGTTCAGTCACCAGCAATCACATGACAGTCAGACACCACACACACCACTGACCTCTATACACTCATTCACACATGTGCATCTACACATATGTGTGCATGCACCCGTATCAACATGTATACACATACAAAAGAAAAGGTTAGAGTGTAGTATGTCTGATATTGTTAATATTGCCAAAGTGATTTTTTCCGCTGGCAGGGTATAGCACGTGTCACTCCCGGTCGTCTAGTTTCTCCGAGTTCTGCCACCGAAGAAATACCTCAGTGGGAAGTACATCAACAGGAATTGAAAGCATTCTGGAGCCATGTGATGAAATTGAGCAAATCACAGCTGAACCAAATCCTGACACAGCCGATAAAGAAGAAGAATTCCCTGAGAAACTCACCAGGTACCCTCCCTCGTGCTGACTCTACATTTAAAACGTCTTTATTTTCATAACACGAGCAATACAAAAGGTAGAAACTACTGTGTTTCTTTTCAAAGGTGCCCGGTGAAGCAGGATTCTGTTGAATCTCAGCTGAAGCGGGTTGACGACACCAGAGTGGATGCGGATGACATCGTGGAGAAAATCCTGCAGAGTCAAGACTTCAGCCTCGACTCCAGTGCAGAAGGTGTGTGGAGAACAGATGAGTACAGATGCTGTGGTCCCCAGCTATGTCAACCCATGTGGTCGGGCTACCATGGCATATGTGTAAAGTCAACCCCATGTCCGCAAAAGCAAAGACAGTTTGTAACTTGTCTGTGACCAAGGCTGGTGACATTGGAGAAAGAACAAACTTTAGTGATGAAATCAAGTGAAGGGGGTGTGGTACAGCAAATTCCTAGAATGTATGAGGCCCTGGATTCTGTCCCTAGAACTTGGGGTTTGGGGTGAGGGGAGCAAAGATCGGTTTTAAAGAAAGCTGTAAGGTCCATACACTTTGAGTGCTGTGTTCCTGGCCCAGTTTGGAGGTCTGGAGTGGTGGTCTTGAAACAGTGGTGAATAGAATCCTAGAGTCTGTCCTTACATTTTCCACAGGAACTGAGAATTTATATGGCATCAACTTGAAAGGTGCAATTACTCACACTGGGGGAATTGAGAACACTTAACAGTGGACTGTTTTCTTGTGTAACTGGCTGGAAATAGAAATAATTAAACCTCATGAAAATGTGTGGAAAGAGCTGTCATTCCTGTTCAGAGAAAAAGAGCATTGGGGGAGTTGGTGAGGAGCTCTAGGCTGCCTTTCCAATTGTCTCTTTCAAAGCCTCTATAAAACTTTGATACACTTTAATAAATGCAAAATATAGATTACTACAGTATGTATATTATTTGATAGTCATCTGATAACCGTACGCTTAACAAGCATTCGAATTTATGTGTTGCAGAGGAAGGACTGAGGTTATTTGTGGGGCCTGGGGGAAGTACAACCTTTGGCAGCCATCACCTTCCAAACAGGTATGTCACACACCAAGTCACATTCTGCTAAAACGCAGCCCGTTTTAATCCATGAGGAGAGGAAATGTAGCTCAGCTGTTAGTTTCCAGAGTGACATGAACAAGTGTGATGGCTTCTTCCTTTAATCCCAGCATGTGGAAAGTGAAAGCAGAAAGATCAGGAGTTCAGGGCCATCCTCAGCTACATAGTGAGTCTGATGCCAACCTGGGCTCTGTGAAAACAAAATTGCAAGTCAAGGACAAAGATAGTTTCCGTTGTGCTGAGGCTGAAATAGGACAAATGCATGTGCTCGCTTGAGAAGACTGGAATACTCCTTCCTTTCCTGGATGTCTTCAACATTACGCTCTGTTAGTTTACTGCTTTATTTAAATATATTTTTAGAATATATTGGGCAACAGAGCACTGACAATTGTAATATAAAAAGAATATTTAGAACAGAATCTTAGCCTAATAATTCAGGCAGAACAAAGCAAGCATTGCCAGCCAGGTCTCTTAACCTGGGTGAGCAGCTGTGCACGCACTCAGCAGTCAAGCTGTTATTGACCTTAGGGACATTTCACTTTTTTAAACAAGAAGTGTGCTTTCATTTCTATTTTTAATTTTCTCTGCATAATTTGTATATATGGTTGTTATAAAGATTTCTTCATGTGTGTATGTATGCTGCGCACGTGCGTGCGTGCGTGCGTGCGTGCGTGCGTGTGTGTGTGTGTGTGTGTGTGTGTGTGTGTGTGTATGCTGGGGTGGGGGAGAAGTCTACAGAGGCCAGAAGAGAGTATTAGATATCCCTGGAGCAGAATTACAGACAGTTGTGAGACACCCCATGTAAATGCTGGAAACCAAACTCAGGTCCTCTGGAAGAGCAGGAATGGCTCTTAACTCCTGAGCCATCTCTCCAGCCCCTAAATGGATATTTTTTAAAACATTTTTTGAGGCAGGGTCTCAATGAATAGCCCTGACTGGCCTGGAACTCACTATGTAGAGCAAGGTAGCCTCAAACTCACAAACCTCTATCTGCCTCTGCCTCTGCCTCCTGGATGCTAGGAATGAAGGCATGTGCACCACACCCAGAAAGATTTTCTCCTGTCAGTTTTCTCACAAGTTGGAGTGAGATGTAGCTGGGTATGTTCTTCTGTGTCTATTCGGTTTCAACTTCACCGAACTTCTTGGATATCCGTGCTTATAGATTTCATCAGATTTGAAAATTCTCCAGCCATTATTCTCCATATATATATATATATATATATATATATATATATATATATATATATATATATGCTTCCTTCTGGTATTCTGACATTCAAATGCCATTCGTATCTTCTACATGCTCAGCTATAGCACCAGCAACAGACCAAACTAAGAATTCTACCCACATCCCATTTGGTGAAGCAGTGAGCTTCCCAGGCTTACAAAAGTAAGGGTGACTCATGGCAGCTGCATTACCAAGAAATTGTACCCCATCATGACTGTCAGCCCCCCGCCCAGAAGCCCAGCACTTACACAAGGTGGAGGCAAGAATGATCAGACTTCAAAGCCATCCTTGGCTACATAGAGAGATATAGAGCAGCCTAGACTACTTGAAACCCTGTCTGAAAAAGAGAAAGGCGAGAGCCTGAGGAAGAGAGGAGAGGTATAGAGAGGGGGAGAAAAGAAAATGGAAAAAAGTTACACTTTCTGGAAAAATATTAAGCTGAAGACTGTCATCATTAACACCATGAAAACCCTATGCACTGCCCTAGCTGAGGCTGATTTTAGGATTGTCTGTGTGTCTGTGTATATGAAACCTTTAAGCCTTATAAAAATAAACTCAATAGAAAACCACCTGGAGCCAGGAGGCGGTGGATCACTGAGATCAAGGCCGGCCTAGTCTTCCAGGACAGCCAGGGATACAGGGGGAAACCCTGTCTCAAAGAGAGGGAGGGAGGGAGAGAAAAAGGGAGGGAGGGAGAGGGAAGAAGGGAGGGAAGGAGGGAAGGACGAAGAGAGAAAACCACCTGGTGTACCTGGGAGAAAATTGCTTCATGAGTTGCCACCTCTACAGTTCTGAGAGTATCCCCCTCACTGCTCTTTCAGGGTAGGATCTGGAGCCTACGAGCAGGTTGTGATCAAACGCTAGAAGTGACATCAGCAGACAGAAGCTTCCCTGTGTATGTGAGCTGTGGACAACAGGTATTTCGAGGTGTTTTAGTCAAGCATGTAAGAAAAACGACGACCCTGTTTTCAAAGTGACATTCATCTGTGAAGAGGAAAGCAATGCTGACTCCTTCCCAAAGCCCCCTCCGCCATCATTTCCAAGACACTCACCCCCTGAGGGAGCATGTGAATGGAGGGTGGAGGCCTACCCTGCCTCAGCACCCAGTCTGCTTGTGCCTTCCAGGCACCCAGGAGGAAGATGGCCCTGGACACGTCTGAGAGTGATTGTGGTATTCCAACATGAAAATCTAAGCTGGGGTGCTCAACAGGTCTGGGCTCTGTTTTTGAATTTTACATTTAGGAGACAGTATGTGAGGTTAGTTTAAACCCATAAATGCTATCAAAATAATTGTAATTACTATTAAAGTAAATCTTCCATGTCCTGTTTCCTATAGCATTGTACTAAGTATATTAACTCCTTTTATGCAATAATTGCAATAATTGACAGGAAGTGGGTGTCCGTGCTTTGGGAAAACATTATAACTTAAACATTTTAAATACTTCATAATTCTAAATGAGTCAGACGTAAGTCGAATATGACAGGTGTGTCCAAGTCTGAGATAGTTGTATGGGAGGAATGTTGTGACTGTGCAGTATATATTGTTCCTTGTTACTAATATTAGATGAACTGTAAGAGCCCCAGTAGCACTCTGTAAGAGTCAAGGTAAGCTTAATTAATAGTCAGTAGGTTAGACTACCATAGGCAGGCTAGGAGAAAAACTGTCTCATGACCCATTCAGTACTAAGACATGCTGGTCTCAGCAGTCAGAAGCAAGACTGTTAGAGGATCAGGAAAATGGCATCCTTCCTAAAGAAGCCAGACTTCCGTGAACTGACACTTACTGAGCAGTGCTAATCTCACCGGCTGCTTGACTGGCACTTTTCGTTTTCTTTACTGTCAGAATTTAGCTGTCTGAAGCCAGAGTAGGCTGTAACATACCTCTAATACAGCTTTTCGGGTGCAAATATCTAGTCTGGATCCATGGTAACAGCGCCGCACATGAGCGGTAGTTTTTCTGGGTTTGGAAGTACCCATGTAGAAAGAGCATGAGGCGGTACAACGCCAGCAATGCCCCGGTCCTCACCTTCATGGTCATGTCTGGGAACACAGTAGGTCAGCACAGAATTACTCTGGCCAAGATCTTTTTATGTTGACAGAATAAAGATAGAGTTACAATGTTTGAATATCCAGATTAGGAAGTTTGGAAAATTGGAATTGTTCATGTTAGGATTTTTATTTTAATATCTCAAGAATTGGGTAGTCTACATTAATCCAAAATATTTTCTACAAATAGATGTTGCTTTAAAAAAAAATGACACCCCGTTTGAGAGTATTTTAATACTAAGAGAAAGGATTTTCTGAATCATGTTAAGATATTTTTTTGGAGGCTGGGACATTGACATGAGCATCTTTACCAGGGAAGAAGTTTTCTAGATAGGTGAGGGTATGCTGTCTGATTTCCAGTGAACCAATCCATTCTATGTTACAAAAAGATCAAAGAAAGTTTTAACTACAGATAATGGAGATATTATTTAGAGGGGTTTATTCTGACAATTTTAAAGGCATACTTTTCTATTTTAAAAATATAATTTCTAGGCTATATTTTTGTTGGCAATTCTGCAAATGATTTTGAACTCTAAAGATGATAATAACACTGGGTTGTGAGCATGGTTCACTGAGACCACCCATCAGATACACACAAGGTGCTGTAATCGTCAGAGTTGCTGCCTTACTTAGACTGGCTGCCCTTAGCCCTCTGTCTTTACACAAGATTAGGTCTTATTTTAAATGATACAGACTCCTTTTTTTTTTTTTTTTTTTTTTTTTTTTTAGAAAAATAAAATGTGTGGGGCTGGGGAATATAGCTCAGTTGGTAGACCACACAAAGCCTTGGGTTTAGTCCAGTACATAAACTGTGTGTGGTAGTGCACACCTGTAACCCAGCACTTGGGAGGTAGAGGCAGGAGGAGCAGATCTTTAAGGTCACTTTGGCTCCATAGGGAGTTGGGAGCCAAACTAGACTGTATGATACCCTGTCTCAAAAAGGAAAAATAAAAATGTGAAGAGATCTTGGAAATTGTAAAAAATTATGCCTTTTTAATTTTAGCAGCTACTAGTCATTTATATATTATTCATTAATAAAAAAACAATCACTTACTAAGTAGCAACATTGAGTTGGGAAGGGAAAGACTAGCTGTGACTCTATAGTTGGCAGAAGTATGGATTCTCCTTCCCTAGTGTTCCGGGGTATGTTCTGCATTCGTTATTTGAGTCCAGTCCTATCAGAATGTGAATGGTTGTCCAGATGCCTGCCCTCCTATTCTTTACTCCCTACAGGGCATCTATCGTCTGCTTCTCAGCCACAATTTAAAAGCTATTTACCAGGTACCATCTACTTCTAATTCTGCTTTGAGTTTAGAAAACAATAGACTTGGAAAAGTAGAGGCTTATCAAATTACTTTTTTAATATTTAGGTCAAATTTTCAAGTCCTATCTTGGAGAATTTTTAGGCGTGAATTGTTTACTTCTTCTATCCTAGAGAAAAGACCAGCTGCACTCTTTAAAGCTAGTATTTGTGATGAGAAGAAAACATCTAAAACCTAAAACTGCACTGGCCAGTCAGGAGAGCTCCTCCTGCAGCAGGCAGTGTAGAAAAAGGCAGAGAAGGCCCTGAGCCGTAGGTTCACACTTGAGTGTGGGCCCCCTCTTGTGGTGGTATTGAAGGCTTCTCAGTACAAACAACTAATGTAGATGAATACTTTTGATAGTAAAGTCTTGACCAACAACCCTAAATCCTCCATCTCATTCCAGCATAAAGCCATGAGAATAATATCCAAACTAGATTCTTCTGTACATTTTTTTGTTTTTTCACTTTGTTGTTCTTTTTGTGTAAAACTGTGAACCACAGAAGTTGACCACTTAACTCCTTTGTTACTAGAAGGAATATATATATGAATATATATATAACTAATCTCCATTCAAAACATAGTCAGATCCAGGTTCACACCTGTAATCCAATACTTGGGAGGCTGAGGCAAGAGGAGCTGTGAATTCAAAGATAACCTGGGTTACATGATCTACTTGAGTTCAAGGGCAACCTAGGCTCCATGGTAATCATGAGCCCAAAATGAGACCCTGACTCAAAAACTTTTTTTTTTAATCAGGCAGCACTGAGTTTTGATGTCAAAGCATCCAGAAGCAATTCCAGACTCTCAGATTTCCATGTTAAATAAACCACTTTTGAAGCACAAGCTGACAGTTTCATTAACCATTTCACTGAAGGCTTCCATGTTTAACACCAATCTCTGAGAGACAGTGGGCTCATATGACGGGGTTGTGTTGTTTCTTCACAGGTCTTTCCTGTGGGCATTTCAGACATTCAGTTCTCTTAGATGGTACGTCTTGGGAATCAAGTAGGGTAGCTGAGACTGTTAGGCCACTGTGCACACTGGCTTAGTTAAGAACTGTGGATAATGTTAGTAGTTGAGCTGTAGGGATGAAATATTTCTGTAGTAAGCCTAAGTTAAGACTGCCCTGAAAACAAGGCCTTATTGCCTTCTCTATGTGATTTTTCATCAGAAAACGTATACACAAACTATTTTAAATGGCAATATGGGTGGTCTCCCCATACAACAAAAATTGATTTTAAAAAATTATTTGTAATGTGTTCTGTATTTTCAAATGTGTATATTTATCTTACTTAAGTAATTCTTTCAACGATATTCATTGGCCAAATTCAATGTAAGGAAAGATAGACTTTGATTAATTTGATTAATTTTGACAATATGTCTTGAGAATCACCTTCCTCTATATTATTCCAATCATTTGGAGGTTAAACAGTGTTTATGAAAAGTGTTATTAGTAGCTGATGAATAGCTCAGCAGTAAGGAACTTTTCAGCATGTGCAAGACCTGGGATTGGTCCTCAGCGCTGAAAAAAAAAAGAAAATGAAGTGATTCCATCAGTATTCCTTGTTCTAATACTTGGAGAATGACCTTCATATTTATATATTTTATGTCTTACATTTTAACTATACAATGATAAAATCCAGGAAATGTTTTATAACAAAATAAAGTTTTGTTTGTAAAATGTTTGTAATAATGTAAAAGTGGATCTTATACATGTTCAATAAAAAGCAGTATCTCAAAGGTCTAGATGCTCTTATTCACCTTTTTAAGATTTTATTTTTATTGTTTTTATCTATGTGTGTGAGGGGTTGTGCATGCCACTGTGGGACTCATGAAGGCCAGAAGACTTGAAACCCCTAGGAACAGAATGCAGATCCTTAACCACTGAGTCATCTCCCCAGCCCACTATTTTTTAAAATATTAGGAAGCCAGGTATGACTTCATACCTCAAATCCTGGCACTCAGAAGGCAGGGGGATTACCATGAGTTGAGGACAGTCTGGATTAGGCAAGACAGCTTGAACTACAGAGTGTGATCTTGCCTTTAAAAAAATGAAAAGATAATTCCTGTTTCTCTGAACTCCTGGCCTGAGGTTCACAGCCATGGAAGACCTATGTTGCACTAGAAGGACCTTGCTGATGGCCTGTAACCTATACTGCAGCCTGGCTCCAGGCAAAAGGTAGCCAACTGACCACAATAACTTCAGATAACCTGCAACTTCAGTCAGTGGAACTCTTCCTAGGATACAGTTACCCTGTCTCTTTCATTGAGCAAGGGTCATGGATAAACAGTAACTATTCTCAGTGAAAGTTAAATCTGGTTAAAGCTTGATCCTGGGGCAGTTAAACTGCACAGGTACCAGCCAGTGGCCGCTGACATGCTACATTCAAAGAAGCTTCCTAACTAAAGTTGTGATGAAAAGAAGAGAGGAACATGGGCAAGAGTAGAGTGTAAAAGGCTGATGTGCAGAGGTGTTCACTGTCACTTGAACTCAGACACATGGGAAACAGTTGTTGCCTGGGACAGTTTACCATGTGTATGAACCATAAGTCGTTTTCCTTCCTGTTCAGCATAGGAATTAAGCTACAACTTCTGAATGGTGTAGTAATCTTGTAACTATCCTGGCTAAAGATTTCACTGCCTCTCACCAGTGGGTCTTACGTCTGTGGACACTATCTTTTTCCATTCCCAATGAGATCTTTTAAAATACTTATAAATGCTTTTGGTA